TTTTGTGGTACTGGGGATTGAACTCAGGACCCTGTGCTTGCCAGGCAAGTACTTATTCTACTGAGCTATCTCCCAGCCCTAGTTTTCTTTCTAAATGGATACGTCCTTTAATGCTTCTTTTCTCTCTCATTACTTGTCTTCTGGACATTTCTCATCCTGTAAGTAAATGTACCATTGCTAAAAATGAAACCTGGATTGATAAACCATTTCTTTTTACTTGAGGAAGAAAATTGATGGGAAAAGCTTTAAATTGAGTTACATGAGATAGAATTTATTTTTGGGGTTAAATTACTCATGTTTTATACTACCAAATCTTTACCTTTCATAATTTTTTCCCATAATTTTATTGATAAACAAATAGCAATGAGACAGTTTCAAATCAAATTGGTAGGACAGTTTCAATAATTCACACATTGCATACATTCTTCTTAGTGGTTAATTGCTGTACTATCTTTCATAATTTAAATTTATTAAAAAAAAATAATTTAGGGGCCGGGGAAATGGCTCAGTAGAATAAGCGTTTCCCCGGCAAGTGCAAGAGCCTAAGTTCAATCCCTGGTTCCGCAAAAAAAAAAAAAAATTAAATTTATTTGTGTATGTAGGTTATTGAGAATGGTATTCTTAAGTTGCCACAAGATGTAGCATGGCAACTGGTGTGGTCTTTGGGCTCCGCCATGGTGTACCAGGGTCAGGGCCAGAAAGTGCAGAAGGCGATGGTGCAGCCCATCAACCTCCTCTTCAGATACTTGCAGAATAGATCCCAGATCCAGGTGTGGCTGTATGAGCCAGTAAATATGAGGATAGAGGGCTGAGTTATTGGTTTTGATGAGTACATGAACCTTGTATTAGATGATGCAGAAGAAATTCATTCTAAAACAAAGTCAGGAAAACAACTGGGTCAGATCATGCTGAAAGGAGATAACATTACTCTGTTACGAAGTGTCTCCAACTAGAAATGACTAATGAATTCAAACAGCAGGGAAGTGAGGCAATGGCAATTATGACAATATGTAAAAGAGCAGCCACTTAAGTGGTTTGCCTTGGGAGTGTTTGTAAAACATTTGTTCATATTGTTTTGACTATCCTTATGCTTTTACTGAAGGCTAATAATTGTAGAGTTGTTTTTATTTAAAAAAAAAAAAAGAAGAAGAAGAAGAAAAGAAAAAGAATGGTATTCTTGGGTCAAGTTCCAGATTTGATAGGGGGTGGATTATAGAGTCCACGGCCTCATGCATAAATTCTAGAATTTAAATAGAGTATTATGTTCAACCTTATACCAATAACTCAATTATTAATTGGTGGCCAAACTTCAGAATATGCTAATGCTAGCAGTTTTATAATAAAGAGCTGTTATGGTAATAGTAGAATATATAGAAGAATATACGGCTTAAATAAGAATTAATTTTTCTGAAAAAAGCTCTCTGCCATTTACTAAACAAAAGATGGACAAATCTAAAGTTAAGCTTCCTTATGATTTTAGAAATATAATACCACCTCCTTCATCCCTGTTGATATGAAGATCAAATACCAACACAACTGAAAGTTCTAAACAGAAAAGAACCCAACTAATGAAAGTGACTTTTTTGTGTATATATCACCATCTGCTGGTGAAAAATGGCTCACTACACAAACCTGGAAATTTTGAATGTGCTGCCTTAATCAGATAGCGTGAGTGTATTTGCTCCTTCCCACTCTCCCAGGAAAGTGGGAAGCTGCCCCAGTGTCTTCCACCATGTATTTCCAGAAAGAAAACTTTTTTTTTTTTTTTTTGCACAAAAGTGGCAACTAGGTCAATACTGGGGATAAAGCTGGCCTTGGGTTGCTGGGCCCCTCCACCTACTTTTTCCAGGCTTCAGTGTTAGTCTCTGTAAAAAGATAATTATTCTCTCTAAAATAATAGAGTATGGTGGGCCAGGGGAGATGTCTTGCTTCTGCAGGCCCTCTAGTACCCCTTCTTTCTTGCCAGTGTGGTGGCATTAGGGGGGGCAGGGAACACTCCTCCTGTGACTGGAGTGTAATCACCCTCCCTCTACCTGCCACAGCCTATGTTGGAGGAGCAGGGACACTAAGGAAGGGAGTCGCTCTTCCTGTCTTCCTGCACCTTCTCACTGCTAGCTAAAGAAATTTGAGCTTGGAGGCCTGGGGATGCCTTACCCCTGGGAGAGGAAGTATAGGGAGCCCTATCCCACACCTTCTCTCACCGTGGTCTACATCTATAAACCCTGAGAGCCCAGCCCAAGGACTCAACCCCCCATTGTTATATCCCCATCTTCCTGGGCCCCAGCTGTGCCCTGTCCTGGATTGCAGGGTACAGGAATCATCCTGGATTCACTCATCTGCCTTGCACTCACACTCTCCCCACCACTACCACTTCCCTATGTGACTCCCCTTCCTTTTACCTGCCCCTGTAAATACCCCCAATAAAACTGTGTGTGTTCTGCCTGAAAAATAAAATTCAGTGGGGATTATCATTAATATATTTTACTTTGGGGTGTGTGTGTGTGTGTGTGTGTTGTGCTGTGCTGGGGATCAAACCAAGGGCCTTACATATGCTAGGCAAGAGTTCTCCCAGTTTTCTGGAACTTGTGTCCCCATCCCTGTACCATAACTGTTGACCTGTGCCTAGCATAGAGCATCACTGCCTTCCCTCAAAGTTTCAAATCCAGCAAATTATTTATTGATTGCCTTCTTTGTGTCAGTCACTGTTCTAGGGGCTAGAAATATAACAATAAACAAAAGCATCACATCTCTTAACAGTCTTACATCTCAATGTGAGAATATATATATGTATATATATTAAGATGATAATGGGACCTTCTTAGTTCTCACAACTGTCAACTCTTTATACCATAAGCAGTGTCCTTAGTTAAGAAAGCAATCAAGAACAGGATTCCGAGAAGTGGAGTATTTCATTTTTGTTTATTTGGGTGCTTAGTTGGTGGTTTTTGTTTTTTTTTTGGTTTTTTTTTTGAGACAGGGTTTCTCTCTGCAGCTCAGACTGACCTTGAGTTTATTTGTAGCCCAGGCTAGCCGCAAACTTGCAATGATCCTCCTGCCTCAGCCTCTGGAGTGCTGGGATTACAGGAGTGTGCCACAACACCCAGAAAGGGGAGTACTATGACTATAGTAGATGATTTACAGTGGAGAAGGTGATATATATGGTTTTGTTATTTCATGCTGTGAGACTGAGCACATACGTTCTCTGAGCTTAGGTTTTTTTTTGACCTTAGTTTCTTGATGTATGAAAATACAGATAATTTGATCTAATAAAGTGATATTCACATCAATAGGCAACAATAGACCTTCAAAACAAATGTTATTTTCTATCTTATAAAATATGCTTAAGGGACTGGGGAGATAGCTCAGTGGTCTAAGTGCCTACCTGGCAAGCACAAGGACCTGGGTTTGATCCCTGATACTGCATGCTGTGCTGGCCACCAAAACTGGGTGTAGTGGCTCATGTCTGTAATCCCAGCACTGGGGAAGCTGAGACAGGATGATCTCTATGAGTCTGAGCTGTGTAGCAAGACCCTGTACCCAATCAATCAATCAATCAATCAGTGATTTTAAAAAAAAATTTTTTTAAAAAGTATGCTTAGGAAGAAACAAGTCAAGAGACCAACAGTGATGTTTCTAATATGCCTAGAAGGATATGGCTTGCTTCAGTCAAAGAGGTATCTGGACAAATTAATGACCCATCAAAAGAACTAAGACAAAATGTGTAGTAATTCAAGAATTGAGGATATAGGGGCTGGTGAGATGGCTCAGTGGTCTAAAGCACCTACTTAGAACAAGCTTAGCAAAGCCCAGGGACCGCGGTTCAATCCCCCAGCACCACATGCCAGCCAGCCCCGCCCCCTGGTGGGCTGAGCTGGCCACACACACACACACACACACACACACACACACATAAATAAATAAATAAATAAAATTAAAAAAAAAAAGAATTGGGGATATAAGTTCAAAAGACCTGTTATACAACATGGCAACTACAGTTAGCAGTGTATTATACTTTATTCTTGAAAATTTCCAAGAGAGGCCTGGCATGCATGAATCCCTTGTTTAAATCCCCAACACAGAGCCCCCAGCCCCCAATGATATGTTCATCCCCCAAAATGATATGACTTAGTACATGAATTAGCTTGATTTAGCTATTCCACAATGTATGCATACTTCAAAACAACATGCCTGAACATAATAAACAGGCAATTTGCTAATTCATTTTAAATTTTTCAGTTTTTATTTTTTATTAGTTCATGTTTGCAATACATAATGATCACATTCCCCATGAGGATTGGTAACGTGCACAGCGCATCTTAGTTCTTTTCAGCCTTTGCTATTCCCCTCCCTGCTCCTTCCATCTCCTGGTTCCCTGCTCATTTGTTGTATCTCTACTTTTTTTCAGTTCTTTTTTCTTTAATCCCTTTGCTCTTCCTTTCCCTCGTTCTATATCTAGTTTCCCTTCCCACTTGAAAAAGTGCTAGAAATTTCTACTTCTTATTATCTTTTATTTTGTTTTTTATTTATGTTTTGGGTTCCTCATATAAGAGAGATGATACAATATTTGTGTGTTTGATCTATTTCACTTAATAAATTTTGATCTCAAGATGTATCCACTTAGGGCTGGTCAGATAGCTCAGTGCATTAAAGCTCCTGCAAGCAGTTGCAGGGGCCGGGAGTTCAATCCCTGGGCCTGCCATGCCACCGCCCCCCCCCCACTGAGATCAATGGAGACTGGGCGTGGTTACACACGCCTTGTAATCCCAGCTCTTGGGAGGCTGTAAACAGGCAGATCACTAGGAGTCCGCTCTAGTAGTGAG